CGGTTCCATTTTTAGCAAAAATAACTATAAAAAATATATCGGCGCGGGCTTGCTAGCTCTTTACGTGCTCGGTCGTGCGGCTTCATAGCTCCTGTTTTGCGGTTCCAAAGGGTCAACAACGCTCTCGAAACTAAAACGAGCTCGTTAAGCTCGCGAAACTAACAATCAGAGTGCATTCGGGGGGAAAAATAACATCGTTTCTTCATTGACGGGCTAAGCGAGGGTAAACAAAACCCTAGGACACATGCCGGCGCTGGCACCATCGCCTCCGACTTGACATGTTTTTTCTCTCACCTTCTTTGCTTGCCATTGGCACCTTCTACGTCTCGATTTACTTATCTACCACTTAACATTACCATGATTCGAAAAACTTCCGGTCCACATCCATCGCTTTGAAAATTATAGCGACCCGACATAGCTTTTGTTACCCCTAATAGCAATTCCTCGATCAAAGCTCTCAAAAGTTTGCTTCGATTTGCAATCTTTCTCGTTTCAAATTGGCGAATTTTTCCACAAGTCCTCACGCTCATGTCGATTTTGGAATTCGGCAATTCAACTCGCGGTGGGCCCGAGCTACCGCAAGTGGGCCAGGGCAACATAAAAGAGAAAAGGAGGGGGGAAGTCGCGGGGACCAACTTTTAAACGCGCGTGGGCTTTCGAGCAGGCGGCTGCCGAGATTTCGGAATTTCCTATTTTCTTTTTGTCTTCTTCTTTTTTCTTTTCTCTTTCTATTATTATTAATAATATTAATTTCGGTCCGATTCGCAAATCCAACGACGCGAAAATCTTATCCGGACCGGGGGGGCCCCACGCAATAAAAGGCATTTAATTTATTGGGGGCGTGGGGGTGGGGCCCAGCGCGCGCAAGGCGACAAAAACGCAGGACGGGACCGCGCGGGTCGGACACGTGTCATTCCTCGTGTGGAGACCACCCCCCGACCCCGGGGACAGCGCTAGCCGAGCAACCAAACAAACACGAGGATTCTCTCTTCCTGCCTTTTCGTAGCGCGCCATGTTGTGAAGGGCATCGCGAAAAAGACCTCGTTATAAGGCCATTTCGAAGCATTTGAAGAAAAAAAAATTGTAAATTTTGATGGGTTGATGGTGTCTTCTATCACGGGTGATCGATGTCCTAAAAATCGAGCTACCGTAAACGAAGTATACTTAACAAGTGTTTGGGAAATATTTTGTGACAACGCTCCATGCAAAGATGGTATCACAAGTGGAAGGGCCAGGTAAAGAATATCGCAACTCCCAATGTGAAGCGAATCAATATTTTGGAGAATCCGATAATTGCTAATTAAAGCCATTAACAAAACCCTTCCTCGCATTATAGTAAAGACTCTAATTCCGCAGTAATTTCGTTAATATTAATTTTGGGATGCTTGTTAAGTAACCAATTTCTCATAAAATTATCAACAAGCACTACTTACCTTGAAAAGATATGTATAAGAGCTTGTCGATTTTCTCGAATATCTCGCGATTTGGGTATTTTAACGAGCATGGGGTGAGGCTATATCCAATGTCGATTACCTTTAAAGCATTTATTGAGAAAAATCAATACAAATTATCTCAATTTTTTTAAACTATTTATTTCGTGCGTCAAATGAGAAAATATTTGTCTCTTGGGATTTTGTGTAAAAAGAGCGTATGAAAAAAAAAGGGTTAATACCACGAAAAACCTCAAATTGATACACCTGCGATAATTTTACCCAAATTAATATTTTGACCAATAAAAACCCCAAATTGGTACACCTGTGACAAATTTATCCTCAGTTTGTTAAATTGTTTTGTTAAATGATACACGACAGTTAACTGATATGCCAGTTTTATATTTTACCTTTTGTTTGTCATAGGTGTAACAGTTTGCGATTTTTTTTGTATTAATTCAATTTAATGAAAACTGACGGAGGATAAATTCGTCACAAATGTACCAGTTTTGGGTTTTTAGTGGTTAAAATATTAGTTAGGGATAAATTTGTTACAGATATATCAATTTGAGATTTTTTGTGATAAAAAAATTAGTTTGAGATAAAAATTGTTACAAGTGCATCAGTTTGAGGTTTTTTTTATAGTATTAACTAAAAAACGGGGGAAAATTTCGGGGCGCAACCCTCCGGCGTGGACGCGACGAGCGGGCGACACGTGGACGTGACCGCGGCCTTACGAAGACCCGCCCGGGGGCAGCAGCGCCACGTCATTAAGAGCGGCGTGAAGTGATTTAAGTTTTGGTAATAGAAAGGACATCTTTTTCGGGTTGCGCGTGTGGGGTGGGGGGACCACATCGGGGACCACGTCCGAATCTTTGCAAAATCTCCTGCTGCCCGATTCTCTCTCTCTCTCTCTCTAAATCTGTAGCCGTCGATTTCAGTCGCGGGGGAGGGCGCTTTGACGGAACTGCCCCTGGACCTCGTTCCTGTCAAAAGTAGATTTCGAGGAGCAGAGGAGGAGGAGGAGGAGGAGGAGGGGCGCGACACCCCCACCACCCCGGCAGGGCCAAATCCACAGTACAGCGTAAAAGCCAGATCGCTGTTCTTTCCTTTCTTTTTTTAATTAATTGATTAATTATTTGTATTTATTTGTATTTATTGATATTTATTGTGTGTTTTTTGGCGTTTGGTTTTGGTGTGTAAGTAGTCGGGCGATTGCTGCTGCTGCCTGCTGCCTGCTGCCTGCTGCTGCTCTCGATTGCACGGCGTGTATTTAAAGTTGCGGATTTCGAATTTCTGCCTCCTTTAATGCCCGTAACGTTAGGTGCGCTCCAAGGAGAACATGCATTTTCCTTTTTCGCAAAAGCTTAGTTTTTTTTTTCTTGGGCGCGCAATTTGCGATTTCATTAACCTTGATTCCCGTAATTTGTTTGGGTTTTGTTTCCCTCTTCTTGTCGTAGTTAGGGCTATCCGCTGTCGACGGCGCGAATGCGAGCCCGTGCGATGGATGAGTCGTGAAGGCCCGTGTACCGCGTAGAATATGGGAATGGACGGATCCTCCTCTTAACCGGCGTGCCTCGATCCGATTCGGCATATTTGTTTTAAATCATCAGCTATACATGAATTGAGAAAGGCCGACTTTTGTAGATATTATGAAATTTCTTTCGAATGGTTACTTAACGAGTAGGGTTTAACGGTTCGTGCCCGTGCCGTGATTGTACGTGTAATTAGCGTTGCATTTTATCCGGCACATAGCTTTTTTTTTTTTTTGCTTTTTTTTTTGTTTTTGCTCCATGACGTGCCTTCATTATGTAAATAGATTATGTCAATTTGCTGGCCCTAATAACAAGCGACCCTTCTCGGCACTCTCGTAAATGAAATCCCGCTAAAATTGATAAATCAAGTTACGCGGCGGACTGTAAATTAAAAACAAATGAAATAGGTCATATTCATTATCCAAACCAACGGCGGATCGAGCGACTCAACCCGACAATGCCCCAGTTTCCCATTTTTCCCCCGACACCGGCCGGTTCAACCCCGGTCGGGATCAACCTGCGCATATTCTAGGAATCCGGTGTCGTCTCGGGCAAATTTTTTAATGCTTAATCTTTGGATAATTTGATTTAAAGTGGCACCTAAATAATAACTATTATTATTTATGGAGAGTAGAGAAAGCGTAGAGCATGGGGGTGCTAAAAAAAAAAACATGGGGCGGGGCGGGGCGGGGGGCTACTTTTAACGCGAGAATCGGGTCAGAAAAAAAAAATTACGAATCTTCCTTTGTCGGATTATCCATGTTGATTTTAACGTTTTTTTTAATCGAAATTATCGATTTTATTGTTTTTTTTTTAAGGTAAAAAATGTCGATTTTAATGTTTTATTCCAACCAAAACCTACGCGACGGCGTAGGTACTGCGAACAGTGTGCGGAATGCGCACCCTGGTTTCATATATATATAAATTATATATATTTATATGACTTTTTTTTTTGGTCAAATGTTTATATTACCCTAGAAATGTTTCTTCAGGGGGGCGAAAGAAACAATCACGTGCTCTTTGGATATTCATATCCTTAAACGAAGACATCGATCGTCCCTAAATATTTTTTTTTTCCGATTAATGGACCGTTGAAATCGCTAAAAACCCTAAGGTTGCGGAGCACGTTCACCATGTGCCGAAGTCGCTCGAGGCGATTGTCACTGTGATTGCTGTTTTATTCAATATTTTCTTACAAGTTGCTACCGTATGCAAATGCGATAACTTCTTAAATGAATGTGATTATACCTAACATTACCGGTCATCCTCCAAGCTAACTAAAATCAGAGCCGACCGATGTTTATTTTTCGTAACTCGCCAATTTAATATAGGAGCGTGTCGAGCATGTGTCGAGGGTTGTCACGTGATCCGCATGCGGTTGCCCTTTTGCTTCGGACAATATGAACACAAACAAGAACAAAAAATAAAAAACAAAAAATAAAAATAAAATATCATGAATAGAGAGGAGGGGCCTAAGGATGCGTTTGGTAACTATTCTGTATCTGAAAATAATTTCTGCTCAGAAATGATTTTTTTTGTTCTTTTCCCGAAAATAATTTCTAAGCATTTGAAGGCATTTGGTAAAGGCCAAAAATTTTTATTTCTATAATAGAAAAAAAATAAAAATGAGTTTTGATAACTGCGTAAATTTTTTTATATTAAGAATATTTTAAATTTTTTTTTCTTTTCTTCTCATTCTTGGCCATGACTTGCGACTGCCACGGGTCAGGAAAGAAGAAAAAGACAAAGATAATCCCTTCTATTTCTTATTCTTGTTCACAGAATTAAGAATAGAATCAGCCTAGTTACCAAACACCCCCTAAATGGACCCTGTCTGACATTGAGAATCGAAACCCAGGGAAAGAGATTTGATTGAGCCCTGTTTAGGAGGGAAAAATCCCCCACCATTTAAGACCCCCCCCCCGCATCTACTCCGCTACAGCAACTGGCTCCATTACTCCCCCCCCCTCACCCACTTGAAAGCTCCGCACATAAAACCAGGCACACTCCACGCGGAGACACACCACGCAGAGAAGGAGAGGGAGGGAAGGAGGGGAAGGAGGAGCAGAGGAGGAGCAGAGGAGGAGAGGGAGAGGTGGGAGGGAAGAATGTTTGCAGCAGAGAACGGGCTGAAAGGAGACCCCAGGCTCCAGGCCATCTCCCGGGCCATCCGGGTCGTCCCCGACTTCCCCAAACCAGGTGCGCGCGCGTGGGGGGGGGGGGGGGGGGGGTCTTGTTCCTCCTCCTTCTCAATCTCCAGTCGTTTTGCAGGATTTGTTTTCGTTTTCGTGCTTTTCTTGCATGTGGGTTCTTGGGCGCATTTTCTTGAAAGGGATGTTTTCCCTCTGCCTCGCGAAGGGATAATGTTCCAGGACATAACGACGCTGCTGCTGGATCACAAGGCGTTCAAGGACACGGTGGACATCTTCGTCGACCGGTACCGTGACATGGACGTCTCTGTCGTTGCAGGCATGTGCTGCTGCTGCTCTTTTTTCTTGTCGTCTCCGGTTTAGAGCGGGGGTTCTCGTTTTTTTTTTCTTTTTGCCCGGTTGTGGTCGAGAATTTTTTTTTTTTCCCTTTTTGTCCGTATCGATGGGAAACTTAGTGTTGGATATGATCTGACGCTGGTTTTGTAAAAGTCGGGTGGGAATTTGTCATTATCCGTAGCGTTTGGTAAAGTAGATGTTGTGGAGTCGGTGGTGGGAACGAGGAAAACGGGGAGAAAATCTCACGAGGAAGTACATTAGTTGGAAAAAAACTGTATCTTGTAAATTTTGTGAGAGGATTGGTTCCTCATTGATTTCTCAGTTCTGTCAAAGCTGAAGTTGGTGTAAAAAAAAATTTCTTACTTCAGGGGTGGAAGCCAGAGGATTCATGTTCGGTCCGGCGATCGCATTAGCTATCGGCGCGAAGTTTGTTCCTTTGCGTAAGCCCAGGAAGTTGCCGGGTACGTGTTTCTCTCTTCTTTCGGGTCTTTTTTATAATCTCGACATGCTTTATCTTGCAATTCGCCAACTGTAGTTGCTTTCTGGTGCAAAATTGAGCAGTGGTTTATACAGAGCCACAATTGTGCATGATGTGGCTTGAAAGATCCCGTGTTTTTCTCTTGACCGTAGCTGATGTTACCGATGGCCACACAATTATGTTTTGCATGCGGCGAAATTTCGTTCACGTTTCAATAGTAGTCGGAGTACTGGAAAGGAGTACATTTGTGCAGCTTTTGCGATCAAGAATAGTGTAGACAATGCTGTCTAAGTGTTGTAACTAGCTCTTCTATCAAGAATATACTGCAGTCGTCTGGCAGGGCATGCTAGATTTTGTAACCGTTAGAAAATCTCCTGTAGTGCCAAATATAAGCTGTTTCTTAGTCTGCTAAAACTGGCTTCCTTTTCTACAGTACCAAAAGTGAGTTAGTTCGAGTGGTGACTGGTTATTTTGATTTATGAGTCTGTTTAACTTGCACAATAGGAAGTTTACTAAGTAGATGGATGATAGGGGAAATATTATCTTGAAAAGTTACACTTTTACAGTTTGCCTTTCCAAAATAGGAACCCCAAATTAATAACAATGCAAATGCTAGTAAAGATTTGCGCAAGTACTCTCGTATAAGTATAAACTGAGGATGCCCTTGGCAATGTTGTCATATCAAGATTTGAATCGTGAATCGCATAGCTCATTTGTTGTATCGTCTATTGTTAGGTTCAGTAAAATGTTATATAATAACTTAAATAGAAGGGTATCTCCCGGAAGCCTAGCCATTGCTTGTTATAAGACATATAAACACTCATTTGGAAGAATATCACCTGATCATGCCAGATGTACCCAGAAATTGGAAAGTTTCTTAAGCTTGTGAAAAAGGAACAGTTTCTGAAAATGTTTAGAGTAATCCAAAGCGGGATCTACAGAGTAAAATCCACAGACCACACTGCATTTCTTACTATCACTCCTTTGTTGACTGTTATGCACGAGTACCCACCGTATTACTGGAGCTGGTAACTCCAGTTTCTTTTCATTTAGGGAACAGTAAAAAAATACCACTGCATTAGAGATCTAGTATAGTGTTGTTGAACCATGGACAAAGCTAGTGTTTGTGATGTAGTGTTTCCTATATACGTAGAGATCACGGAGAGGGTTATGCACGAGTACCCACTGTAAGTTGTGTAAATGATCTCTGTTTGTTTCATATGTGTCTCGTATGTCTATGTTTTGCACTTCATCTGTGTTCTGTTTGCTTAGTGTGTTTTGTAGAGTTAGATAAGATCTCAATTGTGACGAGGCCTGCAATTCTTGTTGATGATTCATGTAGGTGAAGTAATATCAGAATCTTATGTCTTGGAGTATGGAACTGACTGTCTCGAAATGCATGTGGGTGCTGTCGAGCCCGGTGAGCGTGTAATAGTGATTGATGATTTGGTAGCCACAGGCGGGACCTTGTCTGCTGCCATAAAACTTTTGGGTAAGTATGGCCTATAATCTTGCCTCGTGTATCTCATACGGTTTTATTCTGACCTCGATTTCAATTTTTTTTGGCTAGAACGAGTTGGGGCTGAAGTGGTTGAATGTGCTTGTGTTATTGGGTTGCCTGAGGTCAAGGTAAGGCCTGTTACGTACTGTTCTTACACGTCCTATTTGTCATTGAATCTTCCCTAAAGGAATGCAGCAGCATAAGCAGATCACCTTTTCTCTGTTTTCGCCCTCTCTGTAGATAATGCATGAAAATTAAACACACATTCCCAAATGGTTTACATTTTCCGAACATACAGGATCGCTGCGGGATTAAAGGGAAGCCACTTTATATTCTCGTGGAGCCTCGGCTTTTAGATGAATGCTGTTGAGGTATGAAAAATCCGCTATAAAGCTGATGAAACCGGAATGCCCGGTTCAGGATATTTTTAATTGTCATCTTCCTTTGTCTGAGCTCTCTGCTGGATTTAACAGTCCTAACAAATAGCTGAATATATGAGGATTAGCTGTTCTATGCTGATGTTTAACTTAGATTCCGACTGTTCTGCCATTCTTTTGATGCTTTGTCTAATGGAACGTCAGAAGCTATTGCCTATCATTGTTAGTGAATGTTGTGCAGTTGACTCGCATGCATAGGCCTATCCAGAACATTATTTTGGAGCTTGTAGTTTTCCTGTGTAACTTTCCTTGTAACCTTTTACAATAAACAGGATCACTATTTTGGTTTGCAGCTTCCTAGTCAAAGACTCAAAGGTTGTGCTTGGGCTGATGAAGAAAAATGTGATGCTTGAGCAATGGTCAGCGAAAAGTGGATCTCTGCCCATCTTGGGTCACTGACTCGGGTCCTGTTCCACAAAATCTGAGTTTCTGCACCATTTCATTTGTACTTTTGAACAAATTATCATTAGGAATACCATCAGTGGATCTTGGTTTTTTTGTTTCTTTTATTGATTTTTTTCTTTTTGTAGATTAAATGCCCATTTGTAGCTGATAATTTTCCATTTCTGTAGTGGATGGCAATTTAGATGGTGCAGTTGATGATTTAATGTCTAAGTCTGGCCCATTGTTCTCTGCAGACTTTTCTGATGGGCGGGTCTTTCATTCGGTTCTGGTTCAGCTTTGTTAGTCTTTAGTCCCATCGAACGAAATCGAGAAAACTATTTACGCCATCACGATGCGAAAATACGACTCAAATGAGATGTTAGCACATTTGAGCTGACGTCAATCATGTTCATGTCGTGACGACTCAAATGCAGCGACAAAGGGATCTCGACTTAGGATGAGGGGTCTTCAAGATTCTGCAAATAAAGTAGGTAGAAGCAAAGTCAGGTCAATAAAGTAGCAAGAAATCTAACATGGTCAGATTCAGCTCATCGAACGATAGCACTGACATGTCAAGGGATCGAGCCATTAGAAGATGGCATCTGGGTTGCCGTTCTTCTGTGCTTTTTCGTGCGAGTTTCAATGTGAATAATTTATCAGTTGGTCTACGCTCTCGACCACAGAAGCTACGAATAAATATCGCGGTCGCATTCTTGAATTCGTGGTAAGCTTTTCTCCTCTGATATACAGAACATCTGTGCAGACTCAGCGGAACAATCTGATACGAGGATGCGGGATCCCGTGGAGCCCCTCCCTATCTTTAGGTGCACCTTGATTGATCCGCAAGTTATACTTCAGATGAAGGAAATATCTTTAAGGGTTTCGAATTGTGTGGTACGCATGTGAAGTTGCTACCTAGCTCGGATACAATGATTGATCGAGCGGATGGCATTTCAAAAGTCTTTGGACGTAAACTGGGGCTCATACCGTAATCACATTGCAGCGAAAATGACTTTGGTAAAACGGATTTTCGGGTTTGATTTGCTTAATGTAACTTTTGGGGTCGTATCATTAACCAATTGTTCTTCATTAGTCTCTTATTCTCGATGTGGATGACTTGCCATTAACTCGATAGAGAAAGTATATGTACTCTTACGTGCGAAAATTAATTGAATATATATACCAACGAACCACATGACTCGTAAGTATAGGTAGATTTGTGTGTATATACATGTACACATACGTTTCCTAGATTCTCTATGCATGTCGGCAACTTCGCAAGTTTCCAGTGTGGCCTGCCTTTTACGGTTTTTTCTTTTTTGGGTCCAAATGATACTACTATATATTCAGACAAATAAATAGTTCAAATAACTAATTTGCAGCTTTGCATCTTTTATTATTTAAAACATATAAAATGGAATTATTTTCATGCGAATCTGAACTAGATTTGACAGAAATTATAATTAAATCCAAAAGGGCAAAGAAAAAACTACGATTGAGTATAATTAAATTAATAGAAACCAACGATAACCATAACAGAGAACTAAGGCAAACGAGTTTGCCTGGTTATTTCGAATAAATGATACAACATCAGCAATCATCAACAATTAAACTGTCTCTTTAGCCCTCCTTCAAAGTACAAATGACCAATACAAAGCACAGAATACACTGGGGACGAAATAATTGCTCACAAGAACACAGAAGACAACGACGTCGTAAGACACAACACGCATGAAAGTAACAAACATCACATGACAAATTAAGGATAACACTGTAATTTCGAAGATCAGTGAACCCCTCAGCGTCGAGTGAAGAACCCTTTTGATGATCTTTCCTATTCACACTTGTAGCCAGGAGGGACTGACGTGCCACATGTGCTAATGATGGTACTCCATGCTATTGAAATGTTCAAGTGCATTCCAAGCCAATTGGCCTTAATGGCAGCGCACAAGCACTCGACCACTTCCAAATTAGCCCAGCCCTTAAGCAATGCACAGCATGGGCTGGACGTCGGGGTCCCGATTATGCCGCCCATGACTCCCCCGAGGAGGTCCCTGCACACTCCGAGCTTCCATGTGTCCTTCGGGCAAGCGGCGGCGGGAGGCGGAGGGCACGGCGGCTTTGGTGGGGGGGGAGGCGGAGGGCACGGCGGCTTTGGTGGGGGTGGGGACGGGAGCATGCATGTCCTGCAAGCATTGGAGATGGTGGCGAGGAGGAGGAGGGAGAGAATGAAAATGGGGGTGGAATGAGCCATGGGGACAAAGAAAGGAGAAGTTTTTTTTAGGGTTGTTTCTGGAGCAAATGCCTGTGCTTTCTTGGGGGGGCGTAAGTGTGAGGTTGAAGGAAGGAGGGTGTCGAGTAATTTAAAGGGGATTTGTGAGGTGGGTGTGTTGTGGAAGGAGAGAGTGAGGAATTGGTGATAGGTGTTGCACCCCAGTTGTGATTTTTTGTATGCATTCGGAAACGGGTGTTATGGTTCTTTGGTTGCTACTAGGATATTTGTTGATAACACACAGTATGGAAGGTCTGGAGAGAGAGAGAGAGAGAGAGAGAGAGAGAGAGAGAGAGAGAGAGAGAGAGAGAGAGAGAGAGAGAGAGAGAGAGAGAGAGGCTTAACAATTCAACAGTGGCTTTATCGAGTGGCATTACCCTTCATGCACTGTTATTCTGTAGCTAATTAAACTAGGGTTTTTGGCAATGTACTGCCTTTAGATTAATAAGTCCAACAGCATCTTAAAACAGTTTCAAATATGAAATATGACCTAGAAACGATAGAACACAATGACATATACTTCAAGCCATGCCTTCGAATCACAGTAATCTGTCGATACGCATGTGAAAAAGTTATCATCATTATTCACATCAATTCTCGGAGGTTGCGAACGACGACCTAAGTATGCTTAAGTACTTATGGCTTCAAGATGATATAATATAATGCCTATGATTTCTCCACGCGTTGTGATACACATTTGGTTGGAATATTGTTTGGTGCTTAGACAGTCAGAAGCGAACAAACAGAAGCAAGACACAAGGGAGTCTTTCACGGTAAATACGTTGCCATGGCCGCCAGGGCAAGTTGCAGCTGCTGAAGCAGGATGTGGGGGCAGTAAAGCATGGCTTTACAGCTCGAGACATGTGTGTTTAATGTGCGGTCTCTTGTCTTCTACCTCGTCCAGGAATGATGAGATCGACTTCACCAGGTCTTCCCCCTCTCCCCGCCCCCCCTACAATTATTGAGGCCAATGAGGCCAAACCATTCACATGCTGCAGATTTTCGCTTGTCGGGGAGTCGTCCTCTCCAGGAGGAGGACTGGTTGATTGAACGCGGCTACTTATGGGATTGAGAGAAGACTTAAGGCACAGCGCGTTCTCTTTCGCCCTCTAGGAGCTGGTTTTTGTTCGCTTCTCTTCTCTCTCCCGTTTTGCAGATTTCGCACCCTGTTGAGACTTTGGAGAAATCTTGTGCCAAGCCAAGTGGGGGGTGTGGGGCGATCTCCGAATTATCGTAGGCGTGTACCGTGGAGGCAAGTGGGTTTTGATTGAAGAGAGATCGCACGAGCTTCCCTCCTATCCGTCTAGAAGCTTAAAACGGCGATTTCCGGACGCGGTTTTGGTGTGTGGAGGTTCCAACACTTCGTCCTCGCTCGTGGATTTTGGATTCGGCGTGTACTTCGTATTGTCCAACTGCGATGGTTTCGTAGCTCGTGGTCGACTGTCTTAAAACTAAAGCTAATCGATGGAGATGTAGGTTAACGCATGCAAACGCTACGACGTCGGTTTCGTATGGTATGCGAAGGGTGTTCTTGATCTTTTAAGGCGTATAAACATCACAAAGCACGGGCCGGTGTTGCACCTTGGTCTTATCTAAGTTTGAAAAAGATGAGACGTGAAGTAATAGTGGGACTTCTTGTACGAGACGTTTGGAAAACAATAAATTATTGTACTTGAATGTCCGATGTACGAATCTATGTTATTACAAAAATCATTGCGGCCATCTAGCTTGTGCATGCATGGGAGAGCTAGGGAAGGTTTTGGGGTTTTTCCCGCTTTTATCTCTTTTAGCATGGGAGTTTCCTCTTCGCGAAGTTAATGCACGTTAATTTGAAGTCCATCATTTTCGGAATTCGCCGTGGCAATTGCGAATAACGCAATAGGAGCGACAAGACGCTCGAATACGCACCATACATTGGGACGAACGATCTAAGTTAACATGTCGTAATCTTGTTTGTAATCCGTGGTGAGCAATTTGAAAAGTTAAAAGAAAACACCAAATTTTGGCGAATCCCATGTTAGGTCGAGGCCATTATTGAATTAAAGAGATAATGACACAAATAATTCATGAACTTTGGCATAATGTACAATTTGGTCCTAGAACTTTTAATTTGTTCAATGTAGGCCTTGAACTTTAACCTAATGTTCAATGTGGTCCCTAAACTTTTAATTCGTTCAATGCGGTTCATGGAATTTTGATACATGTTCAATGTAGTCCCTAAACTTGAATTAATGGAAGGACTATATTAAATGTTTTCATATAATTCAGGGACTAAATTGAACATGTAACAAAAGTTCAGGAATGACATTGAACAGATTAAAAGTTCATGGATCACATTGCACATTGGATTAAAGTTCAGGGCTACATTGAACAAGTTAAAAGTTTAGAAACTACATTGCACATTAGGCCAAAGTTCAGAGACCGTTTGTGTCATTTTCTCAATTAAAATTCGAGTGAATGGGTCTAAAGAGAATAGATTTCCTCCATATGGTAGAGCCCAACGTGCCTTCCGTTGATGACCCATCTTCGATTTGGGACGTATAATTGAAGTTCCTAAATTGGCCCAGATCCACCTTAATCATTCCTCATTAGGCTTAACTCCTACACATAAGAGTTCATTTAAAAAAAAAAAGAAAAAGCAAATGTTAACAGAGTTGCTTGATAGCCGTTCGATGTGAGATTTTTTGTTTTTGGTCGGTGTTCGATGTGAGATTGCGTCTATGTAAAATGCGGACGGGCAACTTACGACCATAGATTAACGAAGGTGGTTTCGCCGCGCCCTCCTTAAGGACCCTCCCGTCCCGATAACAATATGATTACGATGGGGGTGAGATCGCTGCCATGATGTGGGATTATTAGTCAAATATTTGGCACATCTAAAGGCAAAACAAATATATTTATATATTTCAGGAGGAAAATAAAAAAAAAGTTTTGAACTTATTGTACGGATGTTAATTTAGTTTTAAACCTTTCAATTTAACAAATTTAGTTCTAAACGTTTTGTTAATTTGCCGATTTAGTCATTCTGATTAATTTTAGCCGAGAATAGCTGACGTGAACTGCAGTCGTCCTACGTGGTATGGTTTGCGCCCGATGTGGATAATATTTACAATCTTATAATTTTTTAAAATTTTATATTTTATTTTCTCTGTCCTTTTCTTTTTTTCTTTTATTTTCTTTCATGTTTTCCCTTCTTCTGCCGATGCTGGTCGTTGGGCCTTCGCAATGGCCAATGACCGGCCACAGGCCAGGGCCGACCTCGCCGGCCCCAGGCGAGGCGGCCTTGCTAGCCCTCGCCTGTGGCCAGTCGTCGGCCATCGCCGAGGCCCAGCCACCGGTAGAGGGAGAAGAAAAAAAAAGGAAAAATAAAATATAGAAATTATTAAAAAATTTAATATTTGTAAACGTCGTCCACGTCATCGCCGATCGTGTCATGTATGACGCCCGGCATCCACGTAAGCGAAATGACAAATTGTCGAAATGTTACATGACTCGATTGGCAAAATTGAAAGATTTATGACTGATTTAGCATCTGTATAATAAGTTTAAGACTTTTTTGGTAAATTTTCCTTATATTTGAGTTTGGAATACGAGGAGGGGAGGAGGGGGATTTGAATCTTGGCCTGTTTTCTTGGTTTTGTCACCCAAGAGGGGGAATCGGGTATTTGAGATGGGTCAAAAGTGGAAAAGCTTTAATCCTCTTTTCCCTAAAAAAAACAAAGGTCACGAGCAAGAGGAAAAGGCCAGGGTGGAAGTGGAGGAGAGCCGACAGCATGCATATGGGAAAGAATAAAAGATAATTTAACGCAACAATAATGCTCTTTTGGTTGGGCCGACATATCAGCTCATCAATTCAATCGAACTCTTTCTTAACTAAATGTTCGTGTCAGCCACGGGAGAACCTTTGCTTTGGTCGGCAGATGTCACGAGCCCTCCACGCTTGGACACGGCACGAGCCGTGTCCTGAGCCAAGTTGGGGTGGGGGGCGTGGGGCGATCTCCGAATTTTCGCAGGCTCATTGTAGTTGTGTGCCGTGGAGAGGCGAGTGGGGTTCTGATTGAAGAGAGAGATCGCCCGAGCTTCTCGCCGCCGATCCGTCTAGAAGCTTAATACGCCGATTTCCGGACGGGGTTTCGGTGCGTGGAGGATCCGACACTTTGTCCTCGCTCGTGGTATTTTGGATTCGGCGTCTACTTCGTACTGTCAAACTACGATAGTTCGTAGCTCGTAGCTCGTAGCTCGTGGTCGACTATCTTAAAACTAAAGCTAATGGATGGAGATGTAGGTTATATAGCGCATGGCAAACGCTACGACGTCAGTTTCACATGGTTTGTGAAGGGTGTGCTTGATATTTTGAGGCATATAAACGCTACGACGTCAGTTTCACATGGAAGTTGCACCTTGGTCTTATGGTCTTATCTAAGTTTCAAAAAGAGGAGACAAGAAGTAATAGTCGGACTTGTACGAGACGTTTGGCAAACGAGAAATGGTTGTACTTGAATATTCGATGTACGAATCAATGGCTATCTGGCCTGTGTGCACGGGAGAGCGAGGGAGGGTTTTGGGAGTTTTTCTCGCTTTTATCTTCTTTCGGAAGCGTTGGGTGTGGGGGTTGGAGCTTGCGGAAGTTCCTTCTCTTCGGGATGTTAACGTACGTTAATTTTGAAGTTTAGTGTTTTTCGAAATTCGACGTGGCGACCGCGAATAACACGATCGTAGGCTCATCAAACGGGCGAGCCGGATTCGGTCGAGAATGATTCGACCCAATTAGACTCGTTTTAATTCGTTTTGGTCCATTTCCATGTAACGCAAATCTAATGACTCATACCCAACTTATATTCGACCCGATTCGATCCACATTGCTAAATTTATATCCAAATTGAGATAAGAGTGCAGAGTAAATGAGAGAGGACGAGAGAGAATGAAGAGAGAGTTATAGGAATAGATTGCGTCTAAGTAAGTCGTCAATTCATTTATGCCCG